CAAAAAATACCCACAAAAAAAAACAAATATATTTCTGTACACTGGGAATCATCCACAATTCCAGATTTTTTAAGCTGGCAACCTCATCCCCCACCCCTCATTAAATAGCGCAATGTTATACCACACTGACTTCCGTTTCGCTGATGATGTAAATAATCGGAACGTTGTGCATTATGAAACCTAGGAGTTATATACAGAGACTTTTACCGGAGGAGTCAGATGATATAGCCTAATGCTGCAAAGCAATGGAATAATTTTATTGCGAAATATGCGAAAAAGCTATTGATGTAAATTGTTGAAATGTTGTGCTATTTGAAACCTATGAGTTACATACCGACCTAGACTTACTTCTCTCACTAAATGCTATTTTCAAGGTTGCAAAACAATGGCATAGCTTCAACCATACGAATATTCTGATTAAAAAGCAGATTTAAATGTTTCCTTTCGCATTTGTTATGGTTTTGTCAAAATCTGGTAGTTACTTTAATGGCGGACATTAATGGTGGAATTTAATTTTTATTGTCATTTGATGTAGGTGAAATGAATGCAAGTCGTATAAAGTCCCGATTACATTACATTAAACGTTCATATTTCTACAACACAATCGCAATCCATACCCATTTTCACTGTGTGCGAAGGGGTCAAGCGTAAATTCGATTCTCGAAACGATCTTAGCGTTAGGATGTCCTAGAATCAATGTTAGATGATAAGAACCTAGGACATCGTAGCGCTAAGATCGTTTTGAGAATACGGGGCCAGGTTATGAGACTTTAGAAACATCAGTCTCATATAAACAGAGACAAAATCTGATTACGGTGTACGGAATTTAGTTGAAGTAAATAAGGTGCAATTTATTATTTATTATTTCCTGTCCCCCAGTAGCTAAGGGTATGATTTCCATTAAGACAATCAAGAATGTTTCTCTGCCATCTAAAAAATTATAACCTCTTCAAAACTCTCATTCATATGATAGTGAGTCAGTGAAAGTAATGTCCGATGATGAATGGATAGCCTAAAGCTATTTAACATTACACAAAACAATACATTCTACACTTGTCAACCCATTTTTTGAAACGACTTTATTTTCTTTTATTCGTAGTGAGACAGAGTTATAATATTTGAAAAAAGGAAAAGTTATTGCTATATTACTTGACTGGCTGTTGTATATTATTTTAGTGTTCAAGATTCAATATAAATACACTGTTCTTCAACAATATTTCAATTTAAAGCCCATGTTCCTAAACAGTGATGTTGGTAGTCGTAATCGTAGTCGTAGTAGTTGGTAGTTAGATTGGTTTAATCATTTACTTGTCATATACCAACCTAGTCACCTTTCTTCTCAACTACCAAACCAAAGGTACATAATCATCCATTTGAACCAATCCAACTACCAACTACTACGACTACCAACAACTACCAAGTTTGCGGTATCAGCATCCGCTGCAAGCGAACTTTAATTTGTCATCTTCCAACCAACCAATAGTGATAAGATTCTGAGAGAAGCTAGATTGTCAATGACTGTTGGCAAATAGTGGCATCGGAGAGAATCTGAACAATAGCTGGATTTAGGCAAATAAATATTGCAGTTGTATTCAAACCCGATATCTAGCAAAATAGGGTCTTGTTGGCAGGAGCAGTCGGGATCTCAGCCACGCAATGAGACAAGTTATCGATGAAGAGTTAGTTAGACGTTTGATGGTGTAACAATGTCCATTCTGTTTGCAAACAATCACTAACAAAGATGGCGTCCTAACCATTACAGTCATGGAACAGGATATACATGTATGAAGGTGTGGATAGACGAGGTGCGGTGTTCGAACGGTGTCTTGCGTGGGATTGTTAATACAACAGAAAACAGAAGAAAAAATCTTGTCCGCTTCGTGTCCAGACCAATAGCTCGTGTATTCGCGTCTTCAATTTTGAAGTTAAAACGCAGGGAATTGGACACCGTACGTCGTCTTGTCGCATCTTTATCATTCTCACAATGGTTAATATATTACGAATTTCGTCTTATCCGCATCCTCATCAAGTGTACCTGGGCGAGAAAGCTCGCCGAAGCTATAGATTCAGAAACAGAGATTAAAATTTCGACATCCAGAGATGAATGAATTTGGAGAAAAGAAAACACGAAAGTTAATATTGGTCTCTTCATCCTTTCCGTGAAAGAGTTTCCATTCTTGGAAACTGTGGCGTTTCTATGAATAATTGGGAGGGGCCAAGTAAAGGCCACAGAATTTCCAAGGGTTCAAAAAGCACCAGGCTTCTATAAAATAAAGAAAAGAACCGCCGAACCAAACTCAATTCTTGTGGGTCCTCCAGCATCCTCTCCTTAAAAAGTAGAAACGCCACTAGGCTACTCATTTGCCACTACTTGAACAAATCAAAATAACATAAGACCTACTCAAAACTCATCTGTTGTTAGGGCAATATTTAACCTCAAACATCAAACCCTCTTTGAAAACATTTTTCAAAATAATTCTTACCTTAAAGTTGATAAAATTATATCCAAAAACAGAACGACTTTTTCATGCCGCCATTTTGAAATATTTGAAAACGAGAAAAGTGAAACAGACGATAAAATGACATACGACACTGTCAGTCTAAAACAGACAGAACGCTATAATTTTGACATAATAAGATTTATAGGAGTCGGTTAATCTTTGTGAGTCAATTAAAAGCACACTAGTGTATTGAGAACATGCTATGCCCCGCGGGCAGAAAACTGTCAATTTCTGAGATCGACATGCCGAACAGGAAGTGTAGGCCAACGAAAATTCTTTCCACTTGTGAAATTACATTTCAGACTTTTGAACTTGAAATAGTAACAAGTCTATAGATATCTGGAAGGATTTAGAGTGTCTATATTTTAGGGAAATTCATGTTCATGAATGTAAGGAGCAAAATATACCAGAGCATAAGCGAGAGATCATTTTGTTTCAGCAGTTGTTGATTTGAAATGAGTGCTAGCAACTATAGGCATATCATCTTGACAACGTCGAGCTATTACGAACTGCGTCTATAACTTGACTGCAATAGTCACCTTTCTTGTATCAGGAAGTATGTAACTGCAGCGTTTTGAAAAGGTTCTATGCTACCGAATACATGTTCTACCTTCTCGAAAATAATGGATCGATGAGTGGCCATTATACCTTGCCAAAACCCTCTTACCGTTTATAGCTGAGTATAACCCTATACCTTATCTAGCTAATGAAACCACCACCAGTGTTCGAGTGATATATGGAAAGGAGATTTCGTTCCTTTTTTCTTATTCATTTGAAACGCTTCAATATATAGCCTGATACATTATAGGGCCACAAAGTACAAAAGGCCATTAGTCTAATCCAAAAAATTTGAAAATAAGTAAAAACCAAAAACCAAACAAACGAAAATTCAAAATTCAGGTCTTAAAACGTTTTCAATTATCTTACGTTCAAATGGTTGCATATTGCACAATACCTTATTTTGTCTCGGTTGTTGAATTTCACTGCAAACTTGACTGGAGTCATCATCCTATTGCGTGTATATATAATAATATTATCTAACAATATATAAAACAACTTGTATTAAATAACTTAAAATGTGTCCTTTTGTCCTCTAAAAAGTATACAAAACCCTAGAATCTCAACCTTCTATATGTTCTAGAATGTCATACTTTAAAGGGATTGAAGATTTGAAACTTTTATTTGCGCATCTAGCTTCTGTCTGCAAAATAACATGTTTCCCTCCGACGCCGTTGGTTCTTGTTATTCAGTAAATGATGACCAGAGGGTACAAATAACACAGACAGAAACAACCAATCCAATTAAAAACTACTACGACTACCAACATAGTTTGCAATATCAGCTGGGTCGACTGAAATAACGTGGAAAATACCTTATTCATTGCTTATTACAGCTGGATCGACAGGAATAATTAGAGGCTATGAGTGCCCCTTCTTTCGAAGTTTATAATACCTTGACATTGTGAAGATACCCCGATTCACTGGTAAAGGGTTGAAACCTGGGTTGAATCCATTTAAGTTGACATCTCCGTCAAAGAATCTTATTCAAGCATAATAAGTCATGGTGTTAGATTACTCAGGGATAAGCAAAAACTATTACAAAATATAACTTCATAGAAAGTCATTGTCCAACGAAAATAAACAGATATATATCTCGAAACGATTTACTCTTGAATTTTAGTTAACAAAGAGAGTTTCAAAATTTCGTAGGTTTCAAGTGACCTTCTGACCATTTGTGTGTTTTGGGACACTTTTAGCTTACATTTCCTCTGTTCGACATCTGTGGTTCCTGTCAATCCGGAATAAGTCGAACAAATTATAAAGTAGCAATCGCGCAGATCGATTAAGTCGCAGAGAAGAGCTGTTAGTAGCGACATAAGTGTACATAGTATACAAACACTATGCTGAAGTGCAGCGAAGAAGAGCAGAACAGAGCGACACAAAATTTTTCCGCTCGCAGTTGGCGGTTGTTCACCTTTTCAGTTAGCATGGTTATCAAGCAATAGGAACGCCTACACGAAATCCTCCACAGCAAATGATTAACTTAAGATCGCCAAGCTCTGATTATTTGTGATTATACGACCACTCTTCTTCGCTCCTCCCTTTTCTGTGCCACCCTGCTTTGCCTGAAATGTGAAAGAGCCCTTATTTATACTCTGGTCAAGCAGTCTGATTATTTATCCTTGGACTTCAGAGTGTGTCTAAACAAATCCAGGCGATCTCGTGTTCAGTAGGTCAGTTCACTTCTGTTCCAGGTCCTTGCCCCGCTCTACCCTGCTATGCGCCTGCCCTGCCTCAGAATAGGACAGAATGGATAGTAAATGCACTGACTGGTAGGAGTTAAGAATAAGGTTATACTCTACATTTGGAACTCATGTCTTCAGGAGTACTATTGGTGATAAGGTTAGATTGGGAGAAAAAAATCTGCCGATTCTCAGATCTTATCAATGAGTAAAATTTCGGTAAGATTTACTCAGTCACATTCTATCAGTCCTTCACAATGGTATGTATCTATTTTATATCAAACTGTTTGTGTTTAACCACTGGCGCCCGTAAAAAACTTGATATATATATGGCCAACCATAAACATGATTTATGGTGAGATATCGCGTTTGTTCAAGCGCAAAAAATTGAAGATTGCAGAAATACTATATAGGATATATATAATCTTTTGTTGCCAGTATATTGACAACTTTTGGTGCGCCCATGTGTACATTATATCTTTTTCAACTTGTGGGTCATCAAATTAAAGACAGAGTAACGATTTTCTTTCAGCAAGACCTTATTCTCGAAAACTTAAAGACGATTATAGTGTTCTGTTATCTCATTGGTCAATTAATAAAATCTATTTCAAATTTAGCTTTATTATCCAATAAGATTTAAAGTAAAAGTTAAGATACATGTATTTCTTTAAGTCTTCATGAATCAGGTCTCTCTTATGTTTTTTTTTCCATTTGATATACCTAAAACAATTTATTTTTATTCACCATGTTTATGATTTCGATTTTTTCAGTTTCTCCGAGTTCTTTGCTTGACAACACTTTTAGCTGGAGTCGCACTGGCAGTCGGTCCATGTGCTCCAAATGAAGACTTCCTGGCCATTTTAGGCGCTATTCATAAAACACCATCTTACGGAAAGCTGACAGCGGAAGAGAAGGTCATGTTAACTGAAATATTTGCCGAAGCTGCTTCTTGTCAACTAACCGTCTATGTTAATACCATTGGCTTCTCTAAAGTCATTGGATTGATTGATCGTAAGTATAGTCCAGCAATAATAATTTGGCACATCCTCGTCCAATTCTAAAGACAAACAAAAACCTCCTACGTTTTGGGGTAGAATAACTAGAAATTAAACTCAAGCTCAACTTATTTTGGTCATTACTACTTACACTACCAACAAATAATGTTGATTGTTTATGTTTTAATTTGGGCTCGGAAGAGCATATATTTGCTCTATTGTATCATAACATCGGGCTTTGTTTTGGACACCGCGACATTTTTACGCAGGTAAGGATCACGCCAGCCACGAGCCATGTCTGTACATAAAAGCTCGTAAAATGCTTCGAGTTAGAAGATACTATAGTTACATATAGTATGTTTGTAAATTGTGCTGTGCCCAATGTTACCCTTGAATGAATATCTTTATATTGAAATCCTTACTAATTTGCTTTTAGATTTATCAGCTGGTGAAGCTCATTTCTTGAACCATTATCTACAACAGGTAAACTATCCTATGTGTTTTTTCATTCAGCAAAGTTATTTCTGTATAGGCGAATAGACAAGATGGTATCCGATTAGAAAGTGCAAATAGCTTCTAGCTATATTTCATTTTGATAAATGCACGTCTTCACTGTATCTCCGTCTTCACAATATCAGGCTACTACGAACTTCGTCTTATACCTTGGCTGCAATAGCCATTTTTCTTGTATCACGGACTGCAGCGATTTGAATGGATTGTACCAAAGAAAATACAGCCAATCAGAGCCCCCGATAGAAAGACTATAAACATTATGCTTATTAGTTTCAGCCTTCCTGTCGAGCACTCTGATTGACTGTATTATTATAACATACAATCCAACGAAGCCGCTAGATTTACATACGGCTGTGATACGAGAAAGGTGGCAATTGCATTCAAAGTATAAGACGCAGTTCGTATTAGCTTGACATTGTAAAGATACGATAACTCTGTCTTATGTTTTTTCAGCATTTGAACTGGGAGAAATCTTTGTCATCAATTTTGACTAAAGCCCCTACCAAACCACCACGTACAACAAACAATCCTACCTCTACAACAATGTAATATAATACAATATGATCTATTCAATAATTCTCTTGTGTTTTGTACATTGGAATTATTTTCTAGTATTCAATATGCTTGTTGTGAGTTTTAGACACCCATTGACCTTTCACAGGCCTGACAGGGGGGTCACGAACCAAGGACCCGCAGATGAGCGGCGATATTTTTCAGGACACTTAGCAAGACCATTCTCTAGGTTTAAGGCCAAAACCGCTTTTCAAAAAGCGCCATTAGTTCACCATTTAATACAGAAAAACACTAAACACAGGTATAACTAGTGCAATATTTTTGATAAAAAAGACAACATTTCATTATCAATTTTATTATAAATTATATTAGATATTATCAAAATAGAAGAAAAAAAACATGATTTGAGTGAAAAATATATTTTAGATTTTATCTACTTGATCTAGCCTTGAGCAATCTGCGGGTAATATGTATTTGATTTCGGTTTCTCTGTTATCTATATGAGGTACAATAGTAATGTTCCATCTATATTATGGTAATGTGGTCCCATTTGATTTGAAATTTCATGGTGTAGGCGTCTTGTCTCAACTTAACGTCTAATGGCATAAATAGGATCACCAACTTGTATCGCACCTGGTGCGTCCAGAGTAAAATTAATTCCAAATGCTGGTTTAGGACCATATGGTTCTTTTAAACGGAATCTGAAAAGAGTAAGTTGAAATGTAATTAAGATTAACGATAAATATCTTGCCAAAACTGACCCTAACCGTTTCTCAAACGTGATATACGGATGGGTTATCGGAACGTTTTGGGCCAGAATCAAATGATCACTTTTTATTGGAGTAGCGGCGATCAATTTTTGGATCGTTATAGTGTTTTCAGAATTTTCACTGGCAAAAGCCAGATTTGGCATAATGTTTTGCATCAAGACATTAATACTAAAAACTAAATACTAACTATGTAACTATGTAAATCCTTCGTCTGTACTGCAGTGTCATATACTTATTTGATATGAGTTAACAAGCATATATAATTTATGATAATGGGATGAGTTAAGCGGATCCTGTGGTACTCTATATACATATTTGAGTTAAGCGTACATAATTTATGTCAACGGAATAAGCTAATGTTATAATTACTTTTTCAGCGTAGCAAGTGGTTCTTCGTTTTTATCTTTAACTCCTTTAGATTGATCTACAGTGGTTAGGATACATCTTGTACAAGCATCTAAAGCTCTGAGTCTAGCTTCACCTATTCTGATTTCTTTCCAATCATCCTGTAAACAAAAAATACCTTTGTATTACATCACAAGGATACGCGGATACAAAGGTAGAAAGAGAGAAAACCCTGGCAAATTTGCCATTATTCATTTTAATTCTCCGTGGCAGTGGTGTTTCTACAGAGGAGCATGCCCGACTTTTGCCCCCTTCTAGTTTCAAATTTCTTATCATTAATTTCTTAAATCTCTGGTGCTGTAAGTCGCCTTGACTGGCCTTGTGGCCTCTTTCACCGAAAATTGATTCACCGAAAATATCTTGATTCACCGAAAATATCTTAATTCACCGAAAATATCTTGATTCACGAAAGTTCAAGTGTTTTGAAAACGATAATGGGAAGTATATGATTCTTAAAAGGAAATTGTAGGCAAACCAAACCTCTGATTTGTATTCTCATAAATGTAATATGGCTAGCTGATATTAAGCCGTATGAATTCACAGTCCTCTGTTCACAATCATAGAATCTATATCATACCTCAGCAAAAGCATCACAGTTATCAGCAATAATATTGGCTCTAAAGTTGAGGATTGGAACTTCTTTATCTAATTTCTGATTCAATGCTTTCAATGAAGAATTTGATAAAACCATGTAGGAACAATAATCCGAGAAAGCTGTCTGAAAATAGAAAAGGGGTATGATTACAGTACACGGTGGCTTAGTCCATGGGACTAGCATGCATATATCTAAGGGTGGTCGCACCGAGGGCCCAAAGAGGTCCGGAGTATAACCGTGACTTTTCGTCTCTTAAAATTCCGATGTTAGCATTGGGAAGGGGTTTGTGCACTCACTGAGAAACCAAGTGGTCCAAGAGCTGATCAGTTTCTTTCATACATAGACCTTGACGAAAGCAAAGATTCAGCAACTCTCGACAGTTTCTGTAAATCTGAATCTATGACGCAGTACGTTAGCGATATGGAGTTTGTGAATCAAATAAACCGTCTTAAACACAATTTGTAGTTCTCACACATCTTGATTTACCTAGATCCAAGAGGTATGGCCTTCATATTGTTGTTCTAGTAGAACACCCATCAAGGGTAAAATAGTGCTTACAAAATATTTTTTTTAATGAAAAGAAATAAAATGTTACCAAATCTCCTGGCTGAGCTGGGTGTTGCCAATTCTTCTTGGCATTGTGGGAATCTCTTTTCTCCAGTGATGCCTCAGAGAAGTGTAGCCTCAATCCATCTCTATTAAAGTAACGACACAACCATTCGGCTACCTTATCACCACAATCTAAAGACTGTACTGTATCTGTTTTGATTCTGAAAACATGTAGAAATTTTTGCGTTTGAGTTGAAGATTTGTCTCCCTTTTGAACTATGTCTGGAATATTTCAAAGTTTTGTTGAAAAGTTTCACAAGAAAACAAATCAAACTAACTATTCAATAAAATTTCGCAGAAAAGAAAAGTTGTCCACGGCCCGTTATGGACACGACAAATAAAATTATAACCAATGGAAAGCCGCTCAATTGCAATGCTATTATTTTTAGCTCTTTAACTGGCCCCAAATCATATCAAAGTTTTAAGACAACTTACGTGATTTTACTTATGTTTGATTTCATCAAAGCCGGATTTATCTGCAGTTGAATGGTTTCCATTCCAGGAGCGTCGAGATGCATGGTGTCACCGTGTAGACTGGTCTTGATTAAAGCCATTTTTGGTTCCTGTCTTTGAGTCAGCCAGGTTCCATCTTTCAATGCTACACTCCAATGCCTGTGGAAAATTTAAGATGTATATACGACTTTATTCCTAGCCAAATATCATTTTTTGTTAAGCGGAATAGTAAAAAAAGTGTTTGTGGTCTGAAGCAATGATATCAAAATGGAGTTATTTCCCTTACATCATACCTGTAAAAAGAATTACCTGTCTCTAACGCCACCGTATTCAAGACCTAGTTTCGTACACTTTCCATTCTGTACACACAATCCACCGAATGATTTAACGGGATAAACATATAATGCCGATACTCGACCAACTTTCTCAAATTCGGTACTGCTCTTCCATCGCATGTAGGCACCGGCACCCAATTTCAGGGCCGCACCAGCAGCGAGTGTGGCAAATATACCAGCTGGTGAATCGAACCGTATTGTATCCGCCATATTCTCGTTACTCTAGTTCACTGAGGCTATTTATAGTAAGCCTATTATTATTATTATAGTGGTGACCTCAAGTGATATACCACTTATAAATATTAAACACGACATGTCTCTTAACAACAAGCGAAACTTAGGTGCACTGTCACAAACTAAACGAGCATTATCTTATTATATTAGAACATGCACCCTTAATTTTATAGTTTCGAAATATCATTACGGAACTTGTAGGTCTATACGGCTTGACAACAAGGGAGGATGGTTCTACCTGCTTCTACAATTGATTAATTTATTAAATCTTCTTCTCATAAATTAAAATTATTTCATTATGAATATTTGTGTATAATTGCGGACCTTTTATTTACGCGTGATATACACATTAACAGTCGTATTCATTGATGAATATATCAGATTATTGTTAGTAAATAATACTAGTTTCACGGCCGTTTTCATTTTTAAGGTCATTGTCGTTAGGTTCGATTTAATCAAATCAATTAACATCACCTGATCTTTGTTCACTGGGACCTTAACGTTTGTATGTCATGTCAAGCATCACTATGGGTTTGTAGGTCATATCAAGTATCACTGGGGTTTTGTAGGTCATACCAAGCATCACTGGGGGCTTGTATGCCATACCAAGCATCACTTGGGATATGTATGTCGTATCAAGCATCACTAGGAATTTGTATGTCATATCAAGTATCACTGGGGTTTTGTAGATCATATCAAGCATCACTGGGGTTTTGTAGGTCATATCAAGCATCACTGGGGTTTTGTAGGTCATATCAAGCATCACTGGGGGTTTGTATGTCATATCAAGCATCAGTGGAGGTTTGTATGCAATATCAAGCATCACTAGGGGGTTTGTATGTCATATCAAGCATCACTAGGGGTTTGTTTGTCATATCATGCATCTCTAGAAATGAAATAGAGTTTTACATCCTACTTTTCTTCACACAATGAGCTAATGAAGATGTGAATTTTGTGAGGACAATTTTTTGAATTCCAACGGTCGAGGAATCTTTAACATGTATAGCATAGCATGGGTAGCACACAGGGTCCCAGAAGTATCACTGACTGTTCAATACATTAAATTAAAACAAATTGTTCTTTTAATGTTTTAATAATATATTTTTTCTTACAATCATTTAATAAGTCTTGAAACAAGACAAATATATTTTACTTTTCATTATATTTTACACTGCGCAAACTTGTTCACTATTTAACAAAAACTATATACAAAGAGGTTACCTAGGAAACCAGAAACCATTTTTGTTTGCAGTGTGTTTGATATTTTAAAATAAATTAGGAAATTTTGCTGCCTTTTGATTTTTTCTGAGACCTAAAAAAGTGCTGTAGTTAGAAATTCAGGTTCATTGAAAATGAAAATGCATTTTTTTTGCCAAAATATTTTAAGAAATTGATTTTCTGGTCAAGACAGCACTGGTCAAGATTTTTGATTTGATATCTAAGAGGGCAAGTTGACAAGGGATCAGGAGACAAGAGAATTTACTTGCATCACCGGATATACCTGAATAACAAAACCAAGAACTTAAAAGCAAAGTTGCGTCCGTGGGCCGTGACAACAAATGATCAAAAGGATTTCATGTCTTTAACAGTGTATCAAAAAGACACTTACAGCTTCTATTTGCAGGCATTTTCGCATCTAATATTTGTGGTTCCTGCAAACCTAGAAAAGCGTGTATGTACTACTGAGCTTTTATTTGCAACAGTGTCAAATTATTCTAGTTAAACAAGAACCACAGACATACGACAAAAAATAGAATGGTGCAAATAGAAGCTTCTCCGATACACTGGAAACACCCTTTGTATCCCTTAACCTTGTATAGCTCTTCATATTTCGAAAAGACATGCAAGATGTCTGGTTATCATTTCACTTGATGTGCCGTAGACCTTGGTAGAAGATTATGAAAATTAATGATAAGTAAAATATAAATATATAAATCTTTTCCATATAACATAGGATGTTTTCATGATAATATTTGGTAGCACTTTTAACATTAGGGATGGAATGAACGTCTGTGGGGATGAAAATTGGGGTGGTATTCTCACGATTGGTAACTTTTAAGACAAAGCTAAACCATGATGCAAACTTGTAATGTATGAACTCATCTTAAGAAACCTGTAAAGGGTTTCAGTTGTTTGCGGACAAAATTCTATGAATTATCTGAACTTTGAAAAATGTTTCTGTGATAACTGTGCACATACTTGAAATTTTGTTTGTCCTTGATACATTTGATATTAGAATAATTTTAGATTTCCCACCTTTACTTCAGGTAAATCCTTTTAAATTTTGAGACATCTGATTGGTCACTTTAACATAGACAAACCATAAATATGAACTGAAGTTCGGCTTTTAACTACAGGTTTTATGTAACTGAATCGAATTATTAATGCATGGATACCAATGCCATTGCATACAAATTTCTACAGCATCACAGAAACATGTTTAAAAATAAAGAATCAGAATCTAAAAATGACTTGTAATTTTGAGAGATGAAGGAGAATGAATGATTAAATGAATTTCTTATCCAAACTTTTGGATGTGGTCGTGTTTTAATCAGTTTTTGAGGTTTCAATAAATACAGACTACTTCCTACTAGTGCCCTTTCTGTCCATGAACAGATCATTCTGAATTTTTCAAGCAAATAGAACTAGTTCCCAGCTTACCATAAATCTAGAAATAAGCACTTCGTTGGTCCACTAGTATTGCCGAACTTATAATTGACAATTTCCCATAAGCGCACAAATATTTTTGCTGAACTATAAAATAATCATATTGAACTAAAAATCAACTTAATCCAGGATGTATGTGGTCAGCATCAAACAGTACAGCCTTGGAAAAGATACATGCTCCATCAAACAATTGTTCCTTTTAAAACAAATTAAATTTTTAACAGAAATATACAGAACATAAAAAAGATTTCTCTTACACACGAAAATAAAGTAGCTCCAAATATACAGGTATCCTAGGATATAATTTATTCACATAAAACAAGGCAATAACTTCTCTTTTTATTTAAATATAACAAGTCGTTTTCACTGTTTTTATAATGGTCTTTATATAGCCAGATTGTCACTTAATCAAATTAACACAGAATGGAGAGATGCCATTTTATTTATTTTATTCACTTGGACCATTTCACTGAAGTTGTCATCCTTTTAGTAATACAGATGTCTAAATATTTGCTTGATCAGCTGGTAGAGCTGCTAAATGTAAGCTGTGTGTGTCACTTTTAAGAAGTAAATTTCCATTCGCCTTCCCAACATCTCAACAAAAGCCAAGAAGTTTAGACTACAGTCACTCCTTGCTATTAACAATCTCACTTGAAGCTTTTACCAATACAAAATCCGTCAAAAAATCTTGAGAATAGCTTAGGCAAGTTATCTTCCAAGATATATTTTTCTATATTTGTAAAGGATAAGCAGGCATAATTCACATTCTGAAAAGTGATAGTTGAAAGATAGCTCTATCAGCAGGTAAAACATATATTTAGATGACTTTACTTAAAAGGTTGATTCCTTTAACAGTTTCATTGAAGAATCCCCAAAAAAGCATCATGTTAAATTCCAACTGTGCTTGAAACACTACTGTTCACAGAGTAATGTCTTTCCAGTTATCAACTCTCTTGAAGATACTCCACAGATCAATCATAAACTGGTACTATCAACTTTTTTGAAGATACTTCAAAGATCCATAAACTGATGTCATTCTAAATCTTTTTGAAAATCCAAACATCTATAAACTGATGCAGCACAACAACAGAATAATCCTTTGACCATTCTAGTTTTTGTTTTAAATGACAATCTGGATGGAGTCAGTTTTTCAAATCACACTGTTTAAAACGTCACCTTCCTATCTTGCCGGCAAGCTTTTCTATCCGATTAGTTCACGGTCGTGGACCAATGACAAGCCTTCTTTTGAAATGATGGAATGATTTCTAATGATAGATCAATGTGCGGGATTGCACGTTTTAATATTCTGTCACTGACACCCGTTAAATCGTTCGTCTTAGTCAGGATCCATAGTTTCCTGGTTCTGGCGTGATGTTGAGACACATTATTGGCGCGAAGAACACCACAGTTATCTAACAAGCTAGCACAATATCCATGGTGCTGTGAATTGATTAGACTGCAGCGAATGTCACTAGCTACTACGTTCCAATACGAGCACGTTTGGCTGATGGCGCTATAGGGTCTGACTCTTCCTCTTCGTCTGAGTCTTCATCTGGGTAATCCACTAATCCCACGAGACCAGGCTGGAATAGAGAAAAAATAACAAAGTTGTATCAAAGAAACTTCTACTTTTTTTTTTGAAAAACTTTGTGACAATCAGCCTTATCAGATTATCTGATTTTTTATGTTACTGCACTGATTATATTGACCAATCAGAAGATCATAACTTTTAACTCTATTAACGAGAGACATTTGTATCAGATTTAGCTGTAAGGATAGAGTTTAGGGAGTTGAAGTGACAAGGAAAGATTTTAAAATTAACAAGAATCTTTACATCATTTCGTTTCCATTGTAATCTAACAGGTTTTCTATAGCAGTCCAGTTCTAATGATACTACTCTTTAACCGATATAGACTGCAAGGATGGCTGTCATTCTCCTCTACTTAGGGGTGACTGTGGTTGAAAACCTGTTACATTACAAAGGAGACCAAAACTATCAGAAAGAAAGCTGAAACAAATTTCAATTTCAATTCAGGAAATTCAGGATTGCATCAGAAATATAATATATTTATAATACCTACCTTTTTGGTTACAGCGTTAGAAGCTTTCTCAATGAGAGGTGAATTATTAGGTGAAGATAGAGGGGTTGGTGTAGGTGTGATACAATTAATAGCAGGACTATTACTATTGGAATTATTAGCACTGATTCCAGGACTCTTGGGATTCTCAGGACTTCCAGGAGAATGAGGACTGCCTGGTGAATGAACTGGACTGGATACTGGGCTGTTGGTTTTTAATGCAATATTGATTGTACAGGCTTTGTTTATGAGTTTAGGTGAACTTTCTTTAGCCTCTGCAGCCTCTTTGACAACTGAAAGGAAAGTCAGAAGTTTACATTAAATATTCAAATAAAACCCTGGGAGAGAGAGAGAACATAATTTGTTGGTAACTGTATAACTTGAAGAACAGATTAACTGTATTTTAATAATCGGATCTAATATTTCTTTCATTCTATTTACTCCAGACTTTAAGACTGTAGCAAAATTAGGTTAAAATGAGGCAAAAGGAGGGTCTAAAACGATTTGAGAAACTTCTCAACTGTAATCATTGCTTCAAAAGTGAGGTATTGGCTTTATTTGCCTCCATTACTATGACTATGCTTAATCTAAATGCCATGTAGTCTCCTTGCAGATGAGCATGTTCTGCCTTCAAACAGTTGAATAATTACTTAGTTTGATATAATAAAAAACTTAAGGACTAACGATCCTAACCATAAAACAATACACGATATCCGTAACATATTGGCACCACATAATTCCAAACAATTTGTATACCTTTTTTACTTTCTAATATTTTATTGAGTTGATCAAAGTCATTATCTAGTTTATTTTTTAAGATATCAGGTACTGTAGGTGATTCATTATCCTGAGCCTCATCATCTTGATCAAACCACATCTCTTCCTCTTCTTCCAGTGTTCTTACATCACGTCTAAATCTATTATTATTACGAACCACAGGTGTTTGACTGAAATCAGAGAAAGGCCTGTTTCTGATAGGAACATTCTTCATCTAACTTTAAAGGGATTGTAAAAAGGTTTTCTAAACTTTTTATGTGTATCAGGGACACTGATAGCATCAATTTGTACCAATCCGATTTTCAATCAGACATCTGTGATTCTTGCAGTGCTACTAAAACTAAGCGTTTTATGACGTCACTATTGCAAATGCCCTTAGATATTATTAGCAGCTTTTGTAAAAGTAATGTCATGCTTATCTTGAGTGGAATTACAAGGATGAATGATGTCTGATTGAAAATTAGAATGGTGCAAATCAATGTTAATAGTGTCCCTTGATACACATAAAAGATTTAGAAAACATCTTTTACAATCACTTTAGTCATGGAAGACGTATTGATGGATGTTTTACAAGCATAACATATCAAACATATTCTGTGCTGTACCACATGCAAAACTATCAGAGAGAAAATAGGTCCTAATCTGAAGGTATCAGCTCGTCAAAGTTGGGGTTGAAGCTAATACTTTCAGGTTAGTGAGCTTGTTTCTTACTCACTGAACAATCCAGACCTCCTCCTTATTATACTAATATTTTTCCATATCAGCCTCTTGCATCACTGACATAGGTAACCGGGTTTGAAAAATCCAAAGGTATTATCTACCATATGAAAGTATTACTTATTAATACTCCATCTTATTTATTTATTTACTATAAACTTTTAAGTCCTGTGCCTGTGCTTTCGTAATATATCATCCAAAGCCTGGGTTAATCCTACTCAATGAGCCACCCTTGCTCCTTCATATTGAGCAAGACATTTCATTCAACTATTATAACAGTTATAAATACCTGTCCATATTTAATCTATCTTTAATTCGTTCTTGTTGCTGTTCATATCGTTTTTTTAATGCTTCAAAAGTCTGTACATACTTAACACTCTCTAGTTCATTGATATAATTCTCAACAATGTGACCACATAATGATTTCACATCCTCCTGTTAACAAACAAAATATAATCATTACAATCATTTTCCCTGCAGAAATGACATTTTATCCCTTATGTCAAATTCTTGAAAACATCCTTGGTGTAAGCAAACAAACAAACACATCAGATCTATTTTCTTCTATTCATTGCCAAAACAATATTGTGCTATATCTGGGGCTTTGATCTCAAAAAATGAACTTTTGATTGATCAATCAATTATTTCAAATATATTAATGTATTTAAAAAAAATCAGGATTTTATCTTGTTTGATTTCAGTTAAGAGAATAAGACACATGAGTAGCAGAAGGCATGTTGAAAGACTTGAAAGACCTAAATGCATTTCTGAAAGGTCAACAAAAAATTTGACTAAAATCAAAGACTTACCACCTTGACAAATTCAAAGAGTTCAATCATGGCAGAGTTCAATAAATTATATCTATCACCATTAGCTTTAAATGCTTCTACTATAGGTTTAAATAGGTTTCCTTTTAATATATAGCGATTATAGAACTCTTCCTTTAAACCTATAATCCTTCGCATAAATCTTAAGGCACCTGAAATACAATACTACAGAGTTATAGACAAGTCTTTCAGAATTGACAATGTGCTACAGGCTATGGAAATTGAAGATCCATCAACAGTTGGAAATGGAAAAGAGTAAGCTAATGCTGCAGTCCTGGAAAAGTGACCCTCATTGCACACTGCATGGTCGTGTCCGTCTTCGTTAGCCCAATTAGATGAAGAAGTGTAGGACATTAAACTCCATTCATTTCATTTTACTGTGATTACTAAGTCCAAAATCCAAAGGTATTAACAACACCAATGCCAAATTGTAGCTTGGAACTACTGTTTAACAAGCAAGGGTCTAGCATGCTGAGCCCTGAAGCTCTTGCTTTACGGACAGACCAGGGTGACAGAATTATATTTCGACATTTCAATGTAGGAGTATACAAAGAATTGTTTATTATTGTGATAGTTGAGTAAAAAGATATTGATATTTCTACTTACACAGAGCTACAAAGGAGTGTCTAGATTTGAGCAAGACCAACACTCTCCGTAGTAAATCTTTACTAATTATATAGTTTTTAATATGATACGTATGATGTTCTACACAGAATGATAATAACTCTAATATTAAACTCAATAACTGTGCTGTTTGGTAATCATCTGAAATAACAAAAGATACAGTGTTAATATGTTTATGGAGAGTGTCGTATTTGTGTAAAAATATGTCAAATAGGGGATATTGTAGTACTCAAGTTAAGGATTTATAAGGGATTGTAAAGAGGTTTATTAAGAAAATATATCTGATTTGACTGACAGCATCAATTTGTACCATTTGTGCAATTTTTAAAGTCACTTTCACAAAGGTTTTTATACATCAATAACAGCTTTGCAATAGTTACGTCATAAAATGCTTACTTTTAGTGGGATTGCAGGAACCACAAATGTTCAGTAGGACATTGAAATGGTGCAAATTGATGATAGAGTCCCTGATACACATGGTATGGAATAACAGCAACGCAATATCATTGTAAAGTATGCCATATTGAAATGTATTCATTTGCATTAATTCTACAATAATGTTGCTCTTACCTTTACTGGGTTTATCATCAACTGTATTAGCAAATAATGGAGCAGTTAAAACATGCATACTATGTTTATAGAAAAAACTTAAAAACTCTGTCTTCTCAGTTTTCTGGAAAAGATACAAAGGTTATCAAAATAATTATTTTGGCCTCAAAACCAATAAAAACACTGAGTAAAACAAGGCAGCATATTGAATGAGCTTTTCACTATTTAGTAGCAAGAAGGATGGCAAGTAGGTGCTGTGGGTTTGAAACCTCATGGTCAAAAAATTCTAATGCTTCTGGAAGTGGGCCTAGTGTCAGCTTTGAATCCCTTTCACCATCTTGCTCATTAAGTTTACCACAAGAGTTGATTTTATTAAAAAAATGTCCATAGGAATTAGCAAAAAGTAATTTTTATAACCATCCCACAGACATTTCTATTCAAGATGTTAAAACGTGGATGTTTTCAGCCAAAAGGAAACAAATCCATTCTGAAGACATACATAAGAAATCAAAAAATAGAACTTACATTAGCTGTGGCCAACATATTTTCAGGGTCCAACAATAATCTTAATATACCCATCAATTGCATGGCACCACCTAATTCTATATAATATTCCATTGAAGGGAGAGAAAAAAAATAATATTAATTCATTACAATACATACAAAGACAACCTCAACAATTGAAGCATTTATCAGTTATATTTTTCAATTTTTGAAATTTGAAAATTATCAGTAGGGGTGGCAACGGCAACTGAATGGACCATATTTCCCTATGCTTTTGTACCAGGATAAGATTGAACACTAGTTAAGGAAGCATATCCTCTGATCACTGATGATGGCAAGTGTAGAAAAATAACAGAAAAAATCTGTCATCACTCGGATCTGAAGTTGATCATGTTGCTTATTTCAAGGTTTCAGTGTCAATTTAAAGAACTAATTGTTCACAACAAGTTTATGATATAAAACCCAAGTAGATATATGGAGTGCAATTCCTTATTTAGGAGAAATTGGTGGTCATTGACATTAAGACTTAGGACTGTATATAAAGAGAAATAAGATTAAAATAATGAGTAAATATTTACCAGGATCTGTATCATTTATCATCTGTTCAATAACCAGATTAATTAATAAATCCTCCTGAAAAATCAATGATATCAACTATCTTTAATTCACATAAAAGGAATACTACCTCTTAAGATGATAAAGAAAAAATAATTTTAAATATGGCCAAAATGAGTATATTTTTATCAGTGAACTAACCAGGCCACGTATTCTCGAAACTATCTGAGTGCTAGGATGTCAAAGGTTCTTATCTTCTAACATTGATTCTAGAATGTCCTAGGTTCTTATCTTCTAATATTGATTCTAGGACATCCTAACGCTAAGATTGTTTCGAGAATACATGGCCTGGTGTCAGAAATATACAACAGAATCCCTCTATGGTAAAACTACAGGTATCTATTGAAAATATTTTTCATTGATTTTGTCATCATGAGTGATCCAAGATGGCTATTGGAATCATTTCATATCTACCTCCTAGGTTTTGCCATCGTGGATGATCCAGGATAGATTTAGGGTCAATTTTATTGTTTTTGAGGACTTTATTATATGTATATACTGATATAATTCTTACTTACATCATCCTGATTCTGGGTTTCATGTAAAATAAACTCTCTGACCATGGACGGACTATATTCCACAATATAAGAAAATATGTCAATAGCAGCACTCTTCATTTTTACATCATCTAACCCCTATAATAAATAAATTTATAATTACTTAAATGCCAAATCATCATAAATTGCCCTACCCCTGCCATCACCTTTATATCCTTTACAATTTAGGACTGAATCAACCAAAAACAAGCTTTTGTCATTGAGTTACAGAAGCAATGAGCCATTTTTCACAATTTTTACCGAAATATAAACTTACTTACCAAAATAATTTCTATTGCTGATAACACTCCTAGGTTTGATAATGTCTGAAATTACAAAACAAAAGTTGCTTGGAATCTTAAAAGCTCACACAACACTCCTTGCCAATTTTGAAATGGGACATGTGACAGGCTGAAACAGTCTGGCTGACTGACATCAAGTTCGGTTTCATCGTTTCTTACAATGAAATGGTACGAAGGTCTATCTATTAACACCCTTGCATACTTTCTAACAATATAAAATGATAAGTCAAATTATAGCCAGCCTTGGATAAGGAGTAAAAATAAGTCTGTACAAGGAAATCTAAGTACCTACCTTGAAAAATGATTCTCTGCTAGGTAACTGTAATGTCTGTGAAAACGTACAGAATTCTTTTAAAAATAGAATGAGATCTCTCCGATGATTATCATCAGTTTCGTCATCTGTCAGTTGAGCAAATAACGTGGTCAAAAACTTTTCATCTTCCTAATAAGAGAAATAACACAATAATAAAAAAAACATTATATAAAATAATGAACTATTGTCTACCTGGTGATAGGTTGAATGATGAACTAGATTATAGATATCCAATGAAAACTCTAAATTTGAAATTCATCAGAAATATTCTGAAAAAGTCACCAAATCAAACAAAAATTTTCATTGTAAAAGGAGGAGTCTTAGCTTCAGAAAAATGGGAATCAGGACTAAGTTCCATCTCCAAATGATAAATTTCACTTCATGGATGGCCTGTTCTTATAAGACACGAAAATAGAATGTAACATGAAAGGCACTTTTAGCAAACAATTTTCTCCTTTTAATTTTGAAAGATTGTTCAAAGCTTAGGCCAGACCAATTTATTTTCTTGTTTTACAGATTTTCTCTGGTAAAATCTGTAAAGGCAGGAGAGAAAAAAAACTAAACTAAACCCAGTACTACCCTGGATTTTCCTATTTTCTCAGTATTGATTTGATCAAAAATCATATATCTTATTATGAATGGAAGTATCTGATGATGATTTTTTATTTTTCATGAACTATGAAGGTTGTTTTTTTTCAGCAGAGCTTATTTTTTTTTTCTCTGATTTATGGAAAGGAGGAAGATCCGTAAAACAAGAAAAAAAATTGGTCATGCCTTATAAAAAAAAAAAATGTGCGAACTGTATAATTTTGATTAAATACTGATACATATAGAGAAATAACACCTTCATTGACCTCTCTTTTTAAATAATTCTTAACATTTGTAAGCATCTGTGTTATTACTGGCACTGTGTCAAATTTCCAACATGTATAAGAACATAATTATATATCTTACTCAATACTGCATTTTAATTGAAATATTTCTAGAAAAAAATGTCATTGTGAGCACCAGAAAAATATGGCCCCTACAAATTACAGGGCATCTTACTTTAATGTTAATATTTGACATACTGATTATATAAAAGGGAAAAGGACTTGTATCTAGATTAAGCTGAATAAAATGCAGATTGTATGAATAGACATAATATGCAATTAAAATACAGAATAAGGAAATCACAAGCAGATGTGACAATGAACATGAAACTATGTTGAATAATATCAATATCTGAGAACATCCAGCAGGTTGTTTGAAATGCCATGATTTTCTTTTGAAAAGATGATTTATACCCGGGCAATATTAGTAGTTATTAATTGAGTAGTAACATATTAGCAATATAGTAAGTTATATATTAGTTATACATTAGCAAATAGTAGACCAATTACAGATTATCACTGGTAGGGCTGGGCGATACTTGTTCAAGTGAATATCACAATATCAAGCATTAATATATCATGATATGGGTATAATGTAATATTTCTGAATTTTGTTTTTTACTGGTTTTGTAACAAAACGGTTCTTTTTATATCTAAAAATTTTAAATTTAAGAAAAAACACCCCTGACTTGAAAATCATGAAAAAACTAATCTGTATCAATTACAAAATCACTTGTTAAAATTGTGATCATTTATCATGATAACTACCATTAATATATGGCGATATTTCTGTATTTTTAAAATAATACAAAATTCCTATAACATTATTTATCGTGATACTGTTAGATTGCCCAGCCCTAAGTCAGGGGCTTTATACCCGTACTCTAAAGTCAAGAGGAGCAAGAGACAGATTTAATATAAACTGTCATATTGTATGTATGTTTATGAAAGTATTACATTTTGTTTGATAGAATATTACAAATTGCACTTTATGATACACTTTACTTTTTAATACCTGACTTCAGTCTTTCATGGCCAAGTTTTCAAGTTTTACATTAACTTTTGCAGGAAGCATGGTATTTCTTGAAGTTAAATTCCACTCTACGACAAATTCTCATCCTAAGAATTTTTGGAGACCAGACCAGATATCAAGTCTCACAGCTAAGGAAAATAAACTTCTGAACTGTCCCTGATGCCAAACCTTGAAAAACAAAACATAAGATGTACCTACCTGTATCATGCTGACAATCTCCACTTTATTGAAAAATATAAAGGAACTGAGAGAGGAAAGCATATTTTCTTCAAACACTGACGGCGTAGGCAATATCACATCCTGGATATACTGAACTCTATAGGTCTGGTGGATTTTAGTCAGTAATTCCGGGTTTGATATTGGCACCACTTCCTTAAACTTGGCTTTTGTCTTTAAATATTCCCTGTGTTTGGCTGGCTGTGATAGGGTAGGATCATATTCCAATAAACCAACTATATCAAATAATATATCGTCACTAAACATAATTTCAAACAGAGCGTTTTTATTTAGTAAAAATATACTTTTAAAAATGTCATATAAATGATGTAATCCTTCTAAATTTTCCAAGTCTTCACACATATGAAACAAGTCGATTAGTTTTTTAATGTAACCTTCGTTTTCGATACAAACAGCCAGTTTTTCTCTCCGTATTGGCGACGGAAGCACATTGTTAAATAATTCTGAGATTTCTTCAAGTTTACTTAATTCACAGGGAGGTAACTCTATTGGAGGCATAGCATCAGGAATGTCGTCAAAACGTTCCTCTTCCGATTCATCCACAACCTCTTGAGTGATGTCAACTGATGGATCTTTACCTTGTACCTGAAAATTTTATAGTAGAGTTAACATCTATGGCAAGTTATCAGTTAGACACTTGTTAGCTAACCAGGGTTCAATTGCAGCATAGATAGGTAATACCTTCCGATTCTTCAACTCGGTTTTTACTGAAAGAGATGCAGGTCAGAAAAGCTGACATGGAAAAAGCCTTTAGTATTCGGATAGGACAATAAACCGAGGCCATGTGTGCTACAGGCACAGATCCCTCGACAGTTGGAATTCGTTAATAAGTAATGCCACAGTCCAAAATTTCCTCATTGTACATTAGCCCAATTTCAATTCAGTATTTCTTTATTATGTTTCTTGATAACAATGATGAATTGTGGTATAGGGAAACCCAAAGTAGAGCAATACGACAGCTTCTTTGTGTTTCAGTATCATACAAATTGGTCTGTATTATCAAAAAAGGTTCTCCATAGCACAAAATGAAGCAATTCCAACCTACCTGACAAATCTTTTCCCAAATTTCATCACATCCAGCTTTCTCTTGAAAACTCAGAGCCAAGTCATAATTATCACATTCTGACCAAACTATCAACGTTTCCTGTAAAAGTGAAAAATGTCAGAAAAAAATAAATAATGGAATGAATGTTTTTGAAACAAGAAAGGATTGTAAATAGGTTTATTTTTAACTGATAGCATCAATTTACACCATTCCAATTTCAATAATATGTCTGTGGTTCAGGCAATTCCACCGTCACTAATGACACCACTACTGCAAAAGCTGTTATTGATGTATAAGGAACTTTGTGATAATGACTTCACAAACACATTGTTTTAGTGGAATTGCAAGACATCTTATTGGAAATTCAAATGGTGCAAATTGATGATATTAGTGTCCCTATACATATATAAATTTAGAAACCTCTTTGCAATCCCTTTAATATATGTCTATATAAAACTGGTAGTGAACAACTGGCTGCTTGTTTTTGACAGTTACAAGGGGTGATGATATGGGTTTAAAAGGGATAGAATTCGCAGAATCAACAAAATACAGTGGATTATTAAACAGTCTACTGTGAAAGTTCCTTAGTCTGGAATTGAATGGCAGCCATTATTTACCAGTAGCCCTATTATTTCCAGATTGTCATGTTTTGTGAGGTTCTGGTAGTCCAATCAACAGAGGTTGGTCATTATCCCCTTTTAAATTTCAAAATTTATCCAACGTTTCTCAAAACAAAGTCAAAACTTAAATAGCATTAAATAAAGTATGATTGAAAGTAGCAAGTTACTGTTCAATATAAGACGCTGGTTAAAGGGTTAAAGTATTGTGTACAACTATTATGGTGTTAATATTTAGTAAAAAAAGCAGAAGAAAGTAATTTGGAAAGGTTTTATATGCCTTCATTTTAAACCTTAGACCGAAGATAAGAATTCAAAAATTCTTCTTATTTACTTAGAGAAATACCAGATGTTTGAATAGAAAATATGATTTTTTGAAAAATTCCCTCTTTTCTATAGTGTACAATCATCACATAACATTCTTTTGCATTGTGAAGTAATTTAAGTATAAAACTGGCACACCTAAACTTTTGGTGTAGAGAAATTTATCTGAAATAAGCCTCATGTAATGACATTATAATCTATTTTTGACACGGTGACCCAGTTTAAAATTACTCAGTTATATAGGAAGAAAACTAGTGTATATTATATAAGAACAATGGGTTTACTGCTATCTTAGTTTATCTTATTATCATACGCATGTATTAACTTGTTTCTATTTACTCTTTATCATTCAAATAATATGTTTACTCTCGATATTAACGTTTGCATAAACCATAGTTACATTTATTTCACCTTTTCACACCAATTAAAAAATGATCTATATTAACATTCTTGATATAACCCAAGACGGGCATGCTCAACCCCTCGGATTAACGAACACCACTGTCGGTCTGAATAACTGGTATTAGGGGTGAAATAGTAAATAGTTAGTGGCGTCCAAGAATGGAATTTTCAAACAAATGAAAAGTATCAGATTTTTTAAAATAAATTAAAAAATATCTCCATAATATTGATGTTTTGATGTCACCCAATATTTTCCAGATTCAATTACTGGTAATTCATTCAGGTTTATGAAATAATTTATCAACAAAAAATTTAAGAGACTAATCTTGTAATCTATATATAATAGTAATAGTAATTTTCATTTTTATGTGAATTTTACATCCTGTTGGTGTGGTTGTGATTTAATTTCAACACCATACAACAGGGCAAGAGAACATTAAGTTCATAATAGTAGACTAGTATTCATCCAATCCAAGCCATTACTGTACTGAATTCAAGAAGAAACAGGATCAAGATTTATCATAGATTTATTAATATTGAGAAGTCATGATGTGTAACCTGAAGTCATTGACCTATGTTTGAATATGTCAAAAACTAGAAGTACACTTTATGATCCACAAAAGGAGGGGTTTGTATTTACATGGATGGTTTCTGAGAGACAGTCAGAGAAAATTTTAGCATTTGTTGAGGTATTTGACAATTTATGAAATAGGCTGAGTAAAACTCATAAGTACCCAAGATGATCCACCGACCACCGTGGAAAGGTTTGGATATTGATGTCTAGGAGAGGTCGAGAGAAAATTGTACCAATTTGAGGTCATTGATCTGTTTTGATATAGATAAGAAAAGACTTGATGATCCACAGAGGGATCGGTTGGGTTTCATGCTTCATGGGCATGGCATGTGTCTGGGAGAGAGACAAATGTACTGTTTATGTGGTAAACAACATATCACTATTGCAAAAGCCAGAGATTCAATGTCTGAACTTCTCAAACGTTATTCTTTGTGAATATGATTTCAGCTTATTCAAACACAAAAGTTAAATGAGAAAAACCGACGAAACGATAAATAATTTCAAACGAAATTTGATACAAATAGGTAATGATGTAAATGGCTGATGTTGGCTGCTACATGCAGTTTGTCGTCTGCACTTAAAGTAGCAGAGTTTATTTTCTCACCTGTTGTTTTTGATAGGCTGTATCAGGGTGAATCTTTGATTCTAATAAAATGGAACCTGAAATGAACAATTTAAATCATAATTAAATCTACACGTTAAACCTTATCAAAATTAAATAAATAAGAACACTATTAAAGATATACTACTCCTTTCTTTAATTTTTGCAACGTTTCAATTCACATACAGGAGTCTTTATCACGCACAAAATATTTTTTTGTGAATACAACTGAACAACTGTTGGGGCTAATATTTCACAAACAGGGACACTGATAGCATTGATTTGCACCACAGGCTTAGTTTGATTGGACTTATAACTGAAAATTGTATCTTGTATGTACCAGTACTGTATTTCAAGATGGATGTTAGGCCTACATTCAATTTTGTATGATTGATTTGTAATTAGGATATAGGTGATGTGAAAAATCTCTTTGGCAGTTTAGTTCCAATGTAACAAATAAAATGCAGTCATAAACTTCAATAAAGTATGCCTATGAGTATACCATTAGTATATTGTAGTACCAAACCGATAACTTAATATCTAAGCAAGGCCTAATGAATAATATCAAATATCATTTTGTTTGTGGTCAGTGGTAGTCTACAAGATCTAAAAATAGAAAAATTGTAGATGACCTCATATTCCTGGAAAATTTGGACTTCACATTCTCTTAGACTGATTGACAACAAATAAGACCTATCCTTAATTTACAAATTTCTAGACCTATCATTGTTTTTGGAGAAAGATCTAGCAAGTTTTCAAGCCAAGTTTGATTTTTGGCTGAGTTAGAAATAGATTTATTTTTGGTAGATATTAGGAAAGACACAAAATCAATCAATCATTCAATCAAACAAAAGATAAACAACAAAACAATCGAGAATGGGTTGGTAGGTCAATTTCCTGGAATATCAAATCCCCATCTCTGTTCAAACGATTGTGATCGAATAGAAAATAATTCCATTACATAACTACACAAATAATCAATTAGGACGATCGATCAGACGAAAGTCTTGATTGTAAACTCACCGTCTATCTCGGACCGGACTAATAAAGCCATTCCTTTCAATCGTTCAACGTAAGCCGACGACACATGCCCCGTTCCACGATCATCCCATTGACGATCCTCATTCAGCATGTACAACTTCACACGCCTTCTTGTATCTGCCATTGTTGTTATTTTAAGAAATAATTTAATAAAAAGTTACTATATCCCGTATAATGGAGCTGAATTATCTTCAGCCGGTCGGTATCTTTCGCATGTGAACACCGAGATTCCGATTCAAAACATTACCACACATGAGTCTGACAAATCATTAAAAAATGGCCACCAAACAAAATAATTTTTCCAATCAAAAAATTCGTGAGTGTCTCGCCACTTTTCATTTCTATATTACTTCACAAATATACTTCTGTGACTAAAGCCATGCCTGTAAATCCGAAAAAACTTCAATTCCATTCGAGGTTGAAGTCTAATCCAGACGCCATATTGAATGCTTATAGTTGAGTCACACGGGGGCTACACATGACCTCTCACGGTTTCCCGCCTAATCTCAAATTTGACAAGTGGCCGTATGAATGGCGATAAAGTACCGTTAATAGAATTTTGAACTCATTTCTACGACGGAACGGAGGATCAGACACTTATTTTTGCTAGATTTTTAATTCTGTGTAAGTCAATCAATATCTTTCGTGTCGATTTTTATTGTTTTGATGCATTTTTAATAGATAGAAGACAAAGTATATGCTAAATACGGAGGCTTTCACATTTCCTTTTTATTCAAGATCAAGGTCAAATATTGCGATAAGAGGTCCCTAATTAAATCCTTAGGCGTCGGATAACGAAGAAGAGTCCAAATTATATTATGTAGGAACCATACATCATTGCCCCTCGTAATATATTACTTGCCCCTCCGAACAATCAAGTCTGCCACGAGCCTGGGCCTAGGCCTACTGGCTATAATATAGCATAGCAATCATTTTTCCTGCCAGCCTACATGCTTGGCCTAGACATTATTGCACTTTGGATGCTAAGAGAAGCATAGGCTACATCTAGGCCTACCAGGGACACGAAACATTTACATCTCCATTTCAATCAGGTTGTTAGTCACAACAATTTCTTTGAAAATTATCTTCAGTTTTAATGGTCGAAAAAAACATGCAGATACGAAATTTGTTCTTCAAGTTGTCTACCTAGGCTACATCACATTAAGGATCCCTCCGGTCCAAAAATCATACTAAGCAACCAGCAATATATAAATAAAAAGTGAAATATCTTTCAATCTTCCACATTAAATTGACTTAAAGAGGGGTCTCAGAATGCAGGAGAACATATGAGAAAAAAAATCCCGCTTAAGTCCGAGGGCATCTGCTAATCTAGTTGCGCCACTGGTTAGAGGCCCATGTTGGAATTTCTTGTCGTTTCGTTCTTAGTTTCCTTAATTTAACATTTCACTAGTTTGTTTAGTTAAAAGTAAGCTAACCGATTAGGGGCACTTTGTGACAATATGATGGCCTTTAGAGTTGTCCTAAACTATTCATCCAGTAGGCCTGCATAGCCTATAATCCAATTCTCTTTTCAGATCTGGATAGTTCAACGATCTGCTCGCATCTTGCAATGCCTGGGCCTATCATACAGGCGTTTGCTATAGTATAGTCTATAGGCCTACCATGTTCAGTTCTAGATAGGCCTATGGTGTTTCATTCGAATTAAATTATTTGTTTATCTTGTAATATCTCTTCGAAATAATCATTTCTATCAATACATGTATATTCATTTCAATAAAAAGTATCCGATTAAAATTGATTTATTTACATACAATGTTGTCCAGTGATTCTGAAGGAGAGAATCTTCATTTACACCAAGAACAAGCTTGACGTTCAAGGGGAAACAACTCTATATAAAAAGATTTGATGACTACAGACTATTACACAATTCTTATCGTACTGTTGATTCAGTTGATAATATTTATAATGTCCTACACTGTCAGTTACATGTAGACCTTCATAGGTTTTAACATGTTTATCTACTAAAATTATGTTATTTATGCTCTGTTTATATAACGTATATTGATGATTTATGGAAGGGCTGTAATCGTTTACGTAGGTGAAGGACTATAATTATATGAAGTGCAAGCTGATAAATCCGGTTGGCCATACCACTTTACGATGAGAGTTCGACATAAAACAAAGCTTAATAAATGCTTAAACCAGCGGAACTGGCGAAAATTGACCTTTCTGTGCAGATATGAACAATACTATAATCTTTGTAAGACAATATTAGCCTACCAATATCATAACGTAGCCTTATAGCCTTATTATATGGGCTACAGCGATCAACTGAAATATATATTTTGAGTAGGATAACACAAAATTTAATTAAAATCATGTAAAGTAGTCTACATATAATTCTCGTACCTATAGTCTTCAATATAAATTTTTAAAAATTAACTTCAATTTTAAGTCACAATTGAACCAATCGTCCTATGGAGACGGATTCGCTTAAGCTGTGTTCTTTTTTCCGAATCCAATTTATATATATTTTATGTAATTTATATTTTAATTTTTGCATAAATAAATATTGTTTAAATCAACCAATCGTCCTAACGGTGTATTTTCCGTAAACCGAAACACTAAAACCAGCTTCTGTGTCCTAAGGTCTTGGGACAAAGCAATATTAGAGTTTTCCGTTTTGGATTTCTGGCTCCTGTATATCTCTATGTACCGCATGCCCAGACAATTGTAAAAAAAATAATGATAATGCCTAATGCACCATATGTAATTCTCAGCTTCATGAGGCTAAGGTCTTATAGACAGCCGTCCAAATTACTAGGCTACCTCCTATATCAAAGGGGCAGTATTCAATTTTGTTAATTATCAAACACGTTGTAAGTTAATCCTACTTGAAATAGTTTATTTAAAAAAGGAGTGTAGGCCCATTACAAATTTTTATTGAAGCAGCTTTTTACCACTAGATTTGGTGATTGGCTTATACAAAGATTCGATATTTGTAGTTGAAACCTTCAGAATAAGTAGGAAACGAATTTCTCTACAATTTGGCTTTCACTTTGCTAAAATCCGTAAGTTTTCTCACACAAAACGATAATAAACATAGCTTTAATACTTTTTGACGTAAGGTCACATTTGTGTTATTTAGGTGTTTAGTTTTCAGTTATTTTTCGACCTACAACGAATCAGAATGCCCCTGTAATTTAAACTTTATTTAAAATCTATGTTTATAAAGGGGCCTACAGCTTTTAATAGTCCAATTTCTCTGGTGGGGGCATATAGACACCGAATAAATCAATTGGCGAATAGGTTAGTATCTAATGCATGTTTGTTTTTATCATTATTTATAATTAAATCGCTTTTAAGTGATTAAACACAATAATGGATTGTTGAGAGTAAAACAAATACATGTTTAATGTCACGTGTGTTTGTTTACATCTCTTAAAGTCTCATACATTATCGCGAGAAAGTTCATTTGTCTCGAGTATTGACCAATTGAAGCAATTGTGAGACCCCCCTATACCGATCTAGGTTTTATTACCTTGTATAAAAGCAAGCAGTGGCAGACATTCATCGGCTTCGGCGAAGCCAACAGTTCATCAAAATTATTGCTGTTTTACTGTGGAATTGGTTTTGACTGAATTATTATGGCTACAGCCACTTCCACGGTGAGTCTTGGAACTAAATATACGCCTGAAATATTACGCGAAATATGACATTTAGGAGAAATTTGTGATAAAAATTCTGATGAGACGTGTTGCCACGACCTTCCATAGAATAAATGCTATGAAATATGGCTCATAATGCCCAGTAAATTCGTGACTATATTGCTATTGCTATCAGCTGATCGTGTGAATATAAAAGGATTTCTCAACGGTCATTTAGTATCCACAAAGAAAACAATTCATTCTGGCATTTTTTTTCTAAAACATTGGACTTTGATTCGTTCAGAGGTAATTGTAAGCCAAGCTGTTATTTTCTGACTGTAAATGTATGATACTGTATGTATGTTGGCTCTAATTTTAATGTATTTAACATAACTATTTCTTAATATATGGCTTTGATTAGAATACGATTTACAAGTCATAAGTGGATTAAATTGATGATAAAATTGATAACAATCCAGGCGATAAGCATCCCAGAATTTAAAATCTCCAAACAAAATAAACTTAAAGCCTTCCCATAACCAGGTCCTATTTCAAACATTTGAAAAATGCAATTTAGCCTCCTCATTTATAGAGTGGCTCAGTCACTCCAGTAATGACACCGGTCACTCCAGTAAAGACACTGTTAGATCGTTAAATTCACAGCAAAGTTTAGGATTATTTGCAAAAGTATCCTAGGTTAGACCCTACATTGATTTTCATAGCGCAAATACTATCAATAAATTACCGTACTTAAAACTACTAAAAAATTGTGTACCGGTAGTTTAGATATTGTTTGATTTAGATTCACCGAATTAAAACATCATTTGATTACTCTTGTTAACTCAGTATAATTACATATAATATCACATTACTACAAAATAACATAATATGATCTGAATATATATCACATATTAACTTCAGGATATGTAATATCGCATATTAATTTCAGAGTGTATCGAGTGTCTCATAAAAAAACACTCCAAAGTTTTACGAAAGTATCTCATCCGATAAACTGATCTCTGATTTCTCACAGATATACTTCAAGATGTCAAAACCTCAAAAATAAAAATTGTACAATTGAACTGAATTTACATAACATGTTGATTTCAGAGTACATAATATTACATATTATTTTCAGAGTAAACTGTATAAAACAGTTGTAGAAGATGTTATAAATAATGTAAAAGAGGCGTTTTTAGATGAAGGTGTTGATGAACAAGTTTTACAGGAGTTAAAACAGGTAAGATTCCATAAACAGTATGTGGACTGATAACTGACATTATTTTACAATTAGAATTTTGAATGGAAGATGGCACAAGTTTGGCATTCAGTTGGCTAAATGTGATGATGCGTTTTATCTTCTGAACAAAAAAGTCAGGCCTGTTGAAATTCTATTTCTGTATGCAGAAATGTTTTCCGTGTCCCTCTAAAACTGAAAAATGAGCGGCCCTTTAATTTTGAAAAATTCATCATTATTTATAGAATATATGTTCATGCATTATTTTTGTAGTTATGG